AGGAAAGCTTCTATTYCTTACTGGGAAGCTTTCATGACCCACCCCACTCTTGGAAAACAAAGAAAAGAGAGTTTTAACCCCAAACTTTCTACCTTTCCACTCCAAAGTATTTATTTTTTGAAGACCAAGTTGTGTGTTGTTTGGATATTGAGGGTGGAAATTGTTCATTTGTAGCAGCGCTGATGTCTAGCTGAGCGTTGCTATGGGGTAGGGCTATGTTTGTGTATATGCATTTACTAAATGCTACTGAAGAGAAATGCTGAACTCTGCCACGTCACCAAGAATGCATTATCAGAACATTCTATTGCAGAAAAGTTCCAAAAACCTATCAGACTGCTATCAGATTTAAATCTGTGGGCAAAATTGACATTTCTAAACTATTTGCAACCAAGCAGTGTAGAAAAATGTAATTKATAATTCGGTTTTTTATGAGCTCTGCTATTCAATGTGTGTTCCAATGAATGTTGTTTAATTCAGTAACATAATGATGAGCAACATAATGTGAGCAACACAATAAAACATAATTGGGAAGAAAATAAGGAGTGAGAGAGGGAACCATCAAAGCCTCCTCCTGCATTGAATTGTGCACTTAGCAGCCTTTGAAAGGTACATCTCTAGAGATAAAATTATATAACTTTACTACCATCGGCTATTGAAATATTCCTTTGGCTTGCTTTTCCTCCTTCATGGGTAGTTCAGAGTGTCATCTGTACATTCAGTTACAAAAATAAGGGGTTTTATCTGATTTCTTCATTTGAATAATGACCATAAACACAATTTTTACCTCTTTTCTGGAACATTCAGTTCATAYATGAAGCAGCACTTCATATTCTGTCATCACACCATGCTTTTTCATTTTTTCTTGATATAAGAAAGTATTTTTTAATAGCAAGAACAGGCCATTCACTGGCACAACCTCCTCAGGGTTGTGGCACACTCTGTTGCTGAAATTCTCAAGATGCAGTAGGCGCCTGTAAGATATCTGTTAGCTATATATACATATACATATACATATATATATATATATTTATATATAATCTATTAGATAATCTCCACAGACTCCCTTTGCCAGGAGAGAYTGGATCTTTTGAGGTCCCTTCCAACCTGGGCTGTTCCATGGTTCTGGGATTAGGAACCTGTTAAAATCCCCTTTTCTGTTGTGGGTTTTCAGTGCTCCATGCTGGTTGGTCTCAGAATTAGGGCAGTAGCTAAAGCGCAACCATTAATTTTTTTTATAAGGCTATTTTATCAAAATGTTATTTTTGGTTCTCCAGCCAGAACAGCTGTGATTCTCTTACAGTATCTTCAGCAGCTAGATTTTAAGACCTCTTTCTAACCTTTTGAAAATAACTCATAAGAATAACATTTTTGTTATCCTTACATGGAAAGGATTCAGAATRTACTTCAACCAACAGTCTGTCCTGAGAAAAAGACTGTTTTTATTTTGTCACACAGCTTTCTGGACTGCTGTCTGCAACCTGATTTTAACTTCCAGACAACAACGAYTAAGAGTTTCCTCTAGCTATTGACTATTATTTATTCATTACAGTTTCATTACATTTGCAGCTGGCTGTGTCAACAGCACCTTGTTATCCTGGCTACAAAGTCAGCGGTCTTAAAATGGTTCCGTTCCCTTGGAGAAATCCTATAAGGTAGTTCTGGACAATGAATCATCTCTCCCGATGGTGTTCACATACCTTTCACTTAAATGCTTCAGTTTGATAACAAACCATGTCTCTGAGGCAACCAGRGGAGCACACACAGGCTGAACCTGTGGCTCCTGCTGGAGCACAGGGCACAGACAAGTGTTCTTGTGCAGCTTGTCAAAGAAATTGGTTTCTTGGCCTGCCCCCTTTACTGTCACACAAGGAAAAGCAGCCAGCAGGGTGGCAAAGACTTTATCAGCCCCTCTGATGATACCTGTGCAATTTGTCAGCCCTGTGGTTGTGTTAAGGACTATGTGTTTGTCTAACAGCCCCTGGAAGTTCATTCTATGGTGTGCCCATGGCACTGGGAACAGATCTTGTCATGTGTGGGGCACATCAGGGCTCCATCACCGTGGGAGATAAATGGATGAGATGGTGCAGACAGSCTCCTTCTCCCTGCCTCCCAAAGCAGAACGAGGCAGTGACAATGTCCCACACTTTGTGGGTACCAGAGCTCCCAGTGCCTCCACTGCCTCGTGGGTCTGGAGCATGCGAAAGCCTGGACTGTGGTGATGAAAGACACCACCTCTCTCTGCTTGTCACACTGACACAAGGGAAGTCACASTGGGCACAAATCTTCATCCCTTTGTTGGGGAAGAGCTGCATCTCCAAGTCTGGTTACTCAGAAATTCATTTTGATTTTTCCCTTTTGTATTATATCCTTTAGGATATAATACAAAATAGAATTATATTATATTTATATATAATATAATTCTCTTTTTCTTAGAGAAAGAATTTTGGGGTGTATGAAGATAAAAAAAAGACCTCAAATATCAGGATTTCGTAGGAGAAAAAGTGGGAAAGTACTTGTTTTGGCTCTGGTGGTATTTTTGTTTTGATTGTATTACTTTGTCATCAATAGCTGCAGTGCAGGTGTCACGTCAGCCTAATATCTAACATGGCAAATCCTTATCTTRAGGATGATTTTAGTTTTAAGCAGTACAGAAACAAGGTCATTTATCTSTGTTCCTGATTTGGCTCACATTTCTCATAGCGTCTTTTTAAGATGCTAAAGACATGAGTTTTGCCATTAAAGCACAGCATTTCCCTATCTTAAAAGGGAAATTCACAACTTTTAATTAGCCAGTGTTTGTGAAATGCCTGGGGACCTTGGGGATCAGGTAGCACCAAAGTACAGAACGTTATAGCCAAATATACTTCTCAGTTCTCATTTTGTTTTTACCCTAGCTGTAATTAGGCAGGGGGGTTTCCCATTCAGCACACGCTCTGACATCTCTTCTGGAGTATGAAGCTTCTAGGGTTTGGCATATTTACATCTGCTAAATGATGGGACAGAACTGCAGCCCACTTCAGGGYTCCTGAATTCTCCCTTGTTTATCTCTCCAGACTCCTGGATCTGCCTTGCCCATTGCATGTGACTGCACGTCATGAGGAGCTCCTCAGCTACACTTGATAAGAGATGTGTTATGCTGAGCAGAGCCAGAGCTTTCCTCGGAATTAACACCTTCAGACTGCACACCAGTAACCAGCATTGCCTCACTGGTATYTGCTCACACAGCTCACAGAGGCATAGTGAGGAAACCACACTATGGTGGTTAGGCAGAGCCTAACAACCAAATCTATCCAAACCAGAGCCTGGCTCCCAWTTGACCTCTAGAAGTGCTGTTGCTTTAATGTTTTATCTCAGCTGAGGTCTCTAAAGACTTGTGAGAAGCCAGCTCTGTGATGCTCTGTGTAAGCCTGCTCTCCTCGAGGTTGTCAASCAATTACACTTGAGTCCAGCCAGTGTGCGCCCACAGAATGTGAATTTCAGAAGGGAAAAGACTATTTAGCACAATACTGAATTCGATGTCACATATCAGCAGCAATATTTCAAATCTGATCAAGTTCAGGGTTGCTTTAAAAGGATTCAACCCCAAAATGATTCACTGTCCTGTCATCAGCCGAGTGGCAGAGCACTGAATGTACCAACCCCACACCCCATGTCAGCAAAACTGCACTATGTGAAAGCAATTTCATAGCGAGTGGCAGATGTGTACAAGCTGAATGAAAAGTATTTAACGSTAAAATGCCTAACTTCCAGTCACTGTGAACCTGCAGTGTGTCAGCAAAATCCATATTCATTGCAACTCATCAGCTTCACACAAAACATATGAGGCACAATAARGGATGGTGCCCTGCCCATGGCCAGTCAGCTGGGTTAGTGTTATAAAACCAGCAAAMCAGAAGGAAATACCTCAGAAAGTCGCATCTGGGTATGAGGTGAAATTATTATTCAGGGGCAGCAGAATTCGGATGTCTGTTCCATACTGTCTTACATTGCTGTGCTAAGGATCTGCAGGCTGGTGCTCTTGCATGGTTCAGGAAGTTGTTTCAGTCATTGGACAATCCTTACTGAAGTGATGTGTGTTTTAGTGCCTGCTTGCRTAGGTTTATTGGTCATCCTGGAATCAAACATGCAATAGTAATATGCAGTATTCCTGGGAAGAATGGGACAATACAGCCCTGAACACTGAGCCATAAATCACAGAATCACAGAACGAKGGAATGGGTTGGGTTGGAAGGTATCTTCAATTCATCTTGTTCCACCCCTGCCATGGGYAAGGACATCTTCCACTATCCCAGGSTGCTCCAAGCCCTAYMMAGCCTGGCCTTGGACACTTCCAGGGTTGGAGCAGCCACAGCTTCTCTGGGCACCCTGTGCCAGGGCCTTTGATCACAGAACCATCAAGGCTGGAAGAGACCTCTAAAATCATCGAATTCAACCATCACCCCAACACTGCCACCGTAACCCTTCCGCCCCCGCACGCCTCACCCCGGACACCTGCCGGGGAGGCGCTCCGCTCCTGTCTAACCGGGCTCACAGTGTCTCTGAGGCGGCCTCTGGGCAAACCGGGGCGGCTCTGAGCRTATCCCCAAGGGCATGTGGATTTTGCGGTGACAAGTGACAGCGGGGCTGAGCAGAGCGGAGACACAGCAGCCGGGGACACGAGTGCTTGAGGGCCGAGCCAGCCGCGGCTCCCGCATGGCCGGTCCCTCACGGCTCCCTCACGGCCAGTCCCTCACGGCCAGTCCCTCACGGCTCCCTCACGGCCAGTCCCTCACGGCTCTCTCATGGCTCCCACACGGCTCCCTCACGGCCGGTCCCTCATGGCCGGTCCCTCACGGCCGGTCCCTCACGGCCGGTCCCTCACGGCTCCCTCATAGTCGGTCCCTCATAGCCGGTCCCTCACGGTTCCCTCACGGCCCCCTCATAGCCGGTCCCTCACGGTTCCCTCACGGCTCCCTCACGGCCGGGCGGGGCGGGGCGGGGCGGGGCGGGGGCGGTGCCGGCGCCTGCAGAGGAAGCAGCGGGAGCGGCCCGGGCCGGGCCGGGCTCGGCGGGATCGCGGTGGGACCGCAGCTCCGCAGCGAACCATGGGCACCTCTGCCTCCGCACCGCTGGACGACGGCAAGTGCGCCTACATCCGAGGTACGGGCTGGGAACCGCGGGGAATGCCGCGGGCAGCGCTCCGGGAGCACCAGGCATCCCGGGCGGCGCTCGGCACTGCGCGGGTCGGGCTGGTTCTCAGCGTGCGATCAAGTTTGGAGCACTTTCTTTCGGACGATGCTTAAGGAGTTGCCGCTGTTGTAAGGAGTTGTAAGCAGACGGTGAAACTTTAGGGAGCTTGGAGCGGCGGAGTGTGCCCGTGTGACGGGTCCCGGGTCTCCGCAGCTAGCAGCTTTGCTGCTGTGAGCCAAACCCGCACCGGACGGGCTGGTGCTTTGCCAAAGTCCCCTGGAGGCGGTGGGAACACTGCTAGGTGGGTGTTGAGGTGAACCAGTCCGACTGTGTGAGGACARTTCTTCATCCCATTAACACGTTAAGAGAGGAAGACCAAACAAACAATAAACGGTTTTAAGCTATGTGTACTGCTGTTGAACTATGAAGGAAAAGAGCGTAATTCATGGGTTAAGGGAGCTTTTTTTGTTGCTTGGGTAATTCAGAATGAAATACAGCTTACTCTTACCTGTGCTGCTTATCGGCCAGGCAGCAGGTAAGAGTATTTGCAAAGCAAATGCTAAGACTGGAGATTTACAAGTGGAATAAAAGTTTGCATGAGTAAAGGAAGCCCAGCTGCRGCACTCGATATATGATGCATGTGGAGCCTGCGAGAGCCTTCTCTGTTGTGGGCAGGGAGTTCAAACTCTGCACTGAGGATTCGGGCCGAAGGGGGACTCCTGGGTGGTGCCCACAGCTTGGCTTGTCCTTGGATTCCTTTGCTTTGGGAGTTTTTTGCGGTGCAGAGGGAGTGCAAACATTGAGCCGCTCCTCTGTTARGACTCTTTTGAAATTACAGTGGGCCTTTCAAGAGATTCCCAGAGTGGAAAGGATGTCCAGTTATTAAAGGGCTTTTACCCAAAAAGCACTTGGCAGAGCTACTGACCTCACACGCTGAGATTTTTCRACAGTGTCCTCTCAGTATTGTCATTTTGCCTGCCCCACTGAGGGTAGTTTCAAGTCCCATCAGAGCCATGAGGGGGCAGTCCCCATGGATTTCTATTTTTTTTTACATTCATCCACATGCTGCAGCCAAAATTGCATTTCCACAGTCCAGCATTCCAAGTTTCTGGTYCCTGAGCACTGAGCACCTGAAAAGATTGATGTCTAGTTACTGAAATTAAAAAAAAAAAAATAATAATAAAAAAAGGAGCTTATTACTTCCAGGGAAATGGTGCTGGACATCACCTGGAATTAGAGCTGGGAGCTAATGCCCAAGGGTTGGGAAATCCCTGTGTGTGAAGTGGGACTGGGTGTGTGTGTCTGAGGCTTGCCTGCAGCTCCCAGGGAGGCTGCCTTGGCATGCTGAGAGCTCTGCWGCACCCCAGACACAGCTCTTGTTTGCCCATCACATCATTGCACAGGCAATAGCCAGAGAGAAATCGCTGGGGAAGAAGGAATTAAAACCCCGTGCTTATCCCCTGGCTCACGTCTGCTGTTCGTGCTGTGAGTGAGGCTCCCACACTCTAAGCTCCTGCTTGGAAAAATCATTAATGAGGCACTTTATACAGAGGCTGCCTGTGAATTAGCACTTCTGAGGAGGAAAAAGAATCAGGAAGAGCATCTTAAATGGAAACAGAGCTCGTTCCAGCCAGCTCACAAAATCTGGTGCTGATGTTAGGCTGGAGTGTGTAAGATTCAGATCTCRCTTGTCTGTCTTACACACCTGGGTGTGATGTACTTGCAGAGGAACTCTGGYGAGCTACTCTCGTTCCAAGAGGGGCCACGTGGAAGCACTGAATCTRTAGCTTGAATACACAGCATATGTTTTAGCTGGTTTTGTGAAGCTTAGGTGGGTTTTKCTGGTGGGATGGCAGCTTTTGGGATTCTTTTCCTCCCCAGGTGAGGCAGGTGTGTTCTCAGTAAAAGACAAAGGGAAAGACCTGCTTTTTGTCAGCAGAGCTGTCAGTCCATAGTGCTGGAATAGGCTGGCACTGGGATGGTGAGACAGCAAACCAAAGGAGCCAGCAACACTCTCCAAACTTTGTGCATTTTGGGATGCTCACTCATGTTGGCTCGAATACCAGTAGCCTCAAGACAGGAAATCCCAAGTATTACTTCAGATGAGAGCTTGGTCTAGTTCCTAGGTGTTTTCATGGTGRTGTAATTTAATTTCTTGTTGCCGTAATGATAATTTAATTTGTCTGAAATTAAACGGGTTGTAAAGCCTCTAGTTCACTTAGACAACATTTAAGCTAAAGTACAGTGTAATGAATGGAAATGAGGGGTGAGTGTTAAAGGGGGTGGATGTCCTGTGCAGGGCAGGACTTAGACTTGCTGATCCTTGTGGGTCTGTTCYAACTYTGGATATTCCACAATTCCATGGTACAGCTTCCACATCAACACAGGTACAGTTCTACAGGCGTTCTGACTCCCAAAAATCTGTCTGCTCACTTTGTTTGTGGGGTGAGAGAAGAACCAAACGAGGATTATGTGAGATGTAAAATGATATTGGAAATATGCAAACCCAGTCAAACAGGTGCCTCTCAAACCCCTGAAGAACCTGCCCTCAGCACGGGGTAGAACCTGTCTGTGGATCCCTGTGGGTGAATGAGGCTGAGCCTTGTCAGACCAGCTGGAAAATGAATCTCAGAGAAAACCAGGAAGGCATCCCACGCTGTGTCTCRGTTACTGATTGCAGAGGCTGGGATTTCCACCCAAAACTGCTTCCAGCTTCCRTGCTCTTAGGAAAAAAGGTGTGGGATTGAAACAGCCAATTTGCAAAGCTGTGTGTGGTTGTACACGGGGCAATATCTTGGGTAATATCATGACCTGAAAGTGAGCAAATGTGATTATTGACCTGGTGATGTGCATCTCCTGCAGCAAACTCCCACTCAGCAGAAAACAGATAATGCCAATGGGTGATTTCCAGGTGGTCTTCAAAGGGAAATTGAGGCTGTGTGTGAAGCTGCAAGGGCAGGGATCTTCACTCTCGAGTTTGAATCAACTGCCTAAACACTTACTTTGGGTTGAAAATACTTTGCGAAATTATTTTTACACTCAGTAGATCTCTGTATTAAGAAACTATATGTATATTTATATATCATGAAGCTGTATTTTGCAAGCCATCGCAACATCTTTTGTCTTTGTTGAGTAGAATTTAATGAAAATCAGTCATTGTTGTGGGATGAAACTGTGAATAACATGCTAGACTTGATATTCCTTACTTCCACCTGAAGGAATTATTTTCATAGTGAAATAAWGGAAAAAATATGTGTGCAGGGACTCCTGCAAGCATTGGAGACAGTTTATGGCTCTGGGAGAAGGTGTGTGGAGGATGGACAGGGCACAGTGAGACAGCCAGTGTGAGAAAGCCAGGACACATGCACTGCAGCACTGCTGGTTTGGAAACCTCAGTAGTTTCAGAGGTGCAGCATGAGCCTGCTTTTCTAACCAGACCTATGGAAAAATACATTTTCCATCTATTTAAGATCCATAAGGTATTTATAATATACCACATTGTGAGCAGTAAAATGATTTAAAGCCCTCCAAAATGAAAATTTTATAGTAATTCCATTAGGTCTTGGACTGAGGCCTTGAAAAAGATGTCTTGTGGCAGAGGTAATCCGGCTTTGTGGGGTTTTGGTGGAACTACATGGGTATTATTCAGGATGTGAGTGAAATGGAGTTTAAAATATGGCAGTAATAATTAGGAGGCTGGGAGCTGGTCATGTGAAAAGGGTTTATTAAAAAAATTTGTGCTCTCAGTTTGATGAGGCATGGGCTAAACTTATGATGGGAGTTGTTTGTTGGGTGAATTGTCTGRGGATGCTTAAGGACTGCTACACCCGAGAGGGAGCGGCCCAGGGCGGTGGTGGGGAGTTACGGGCTCGGGGCGCAGTCCTGAAATTCGGAAAGTGCCTGCTAAAGTAACTTAGTGCTTGTCCTGACAGATTGTGCCAGAGGTTTCATCATTGCTGGTGGAAAAGTGTTGCAGGGTCTCTGCTATCAGACAGGAAACAATTAAGGTGAAAATGCCCTAAAAGTCTTGATGATTTTCCATTTCTGCGGCAGCAGAAGCAGTAGGGGACCAAGCTCTGGTCTGCCACATTTCATGTGTTGGGACTAATTTCTTTTCAGTTTGCAGAAGTGGAGAGATTTCAAGCATGCAACACCAGTAATTTYAACAGGTGCATCTCCAATACAAAAAATTGAACTTCTCTGAAGGCAGTTTTTATTAAAGGTTCTTGGTGTGCTTGACCAATACCCCAGCCACCCATTTATATAAACATACAGCTGTCCAGAGGATGAGGCTTTGTAGTAATTTGCTTTGGATYGGTTTGTTTCAATGCAGGTTTTTCCTTCCTTTCTTTTCCATCACTTTCCTCCCCAAGGCAGGTGGGGCAGCCGGGCAGAGGACACAGTGTCCCTGCAGCACCCAGGATGCACCCTGTGGAATTCCTCATTATTTAGGAAGCTTTTCCAGGCAGACCTTCCAGCTGTTGTTTTTTTTAGRTGACAGTGAAAGCTGTTACTTAATGTCTGTAAGAAGCCTCTTTATAGCTATTTGTTTCACTTTGGAATTTCAGTGTGGTGTAATGAAGGCACAACAATCACATGCTGTTGGTGTGTTCCTACAAGATGCAGCATGCTTGATAAACAGAGAGGCTCCATTCTGTCCCATTTTAGAGGCTGAAGAGGAGCCTGGTTTAACCCTTTGCTTGAAAGACAAGATAGGAAATGGGTCCCTAGCTTTAGAGGAACCCAGCTGAATAAATCCCATTGGTGGTATGGAGATGAGTCCCACTGACTTGGAGGGACAGAACCTGAGTGCCTGATACAGCTCTGGAGTGAAAATCCCAGCCAGTGTGCACAGAGACAGGAGCAGGATTGCTGGAGGATGGAAGAATGATTTGGAATTAATCATGGAAAAGTTGGCCTTTTTTTGGGTAGGCACTCAGACTGGATGTTGGATGTTTCTGCTTTAAACT